ATCACGTACTAGTGCTAGATTAATTAGCTAATTAAATTAATTAAATAATATATCTATCCTTAGTATATGCACACAACCACAACTCACACTACATCACCAAAATGGCATTGCACAATATAGAGTGTGTGCCATCACATATACACCATAAATGCACACTCACATCGTGTACACACACCATAAATAAAGAGAATGCATACCACACACACTATTTTTGCACATACCATAATATTATGGTGCGTACCCACACTAATGATATGCATACAGGATATCAACATAAATGAATGAACAGTGCATAAGATCATGTCACCTAGTATTAAAAAAGTGCATGAACAAGTGGAAAAAAGATTTAAACAAAATTGAAAGTGCAGCGATGAATGTACCAAAGAGTGAGGAAACAAGGTAGGAACGAGGATGATGTGATAAAACTTCCTCTGTAGAACCTCACAAGGGGGGTGTCAAACATCTAGTACATTCCTACTTCATTTTTCTGTGTTCATGATATCATAAAATTTATGGGTACATAAAAAAGTGTGTCCATGATTCTTCAAGCTTTTTATAAACAGTAACGAATCCATGACGTCAATACACAGAAACCTCTTAGGATTATTTATATTTGCATTTTAATCCACCTATATAGCTAATGTACGAAATTATGTTACCTTCTCATGCAGCTGTCAAAGGAGAGACAAGCTGTAAAGAAAAAAAAACATGCAAGTTATGGATCCACACGAATGTCTGATTCTTCTGGTGTGTATAAACAGACTTTACAGTACATGTATTGCCTTCAATAATTCGATTCACAAAACCCTCTAATCATTGTACGATAAGCATAACTAAGTTTAGTCTACCTGGCTTATTGTATATAGGATAGAAAAAATTAAAGAAGTAGGCATGGAGTGGATATTGAACACGCTCCCTTGTGAGGTTGTACAGAGGAAGTTTTATTACGCCATACTCATTCCTACCTTCTTTCCTCACTTTTTGGTGCACCTATTTCTAAACTCTTAATTTTTTCCACTTTTGTAACATATGACATATATAAATAATCAAGCAACAACAAGGTGATGTTATTACATAACTACTTATGTAATATAAATGTGACAATTATATA